GGTTTTATAATCAAAAGATATCTATATAATATATTTACCTCACAAAAAACCATTCTATTAAACAATTTCAATACTCATTATTCTTGATGAAATTCTTTTTAAAAAAAAACAAAAACACTAATTAATTAATTAAATAATTTGAAGATCAAAATCTTACTTTTCTCAACAAACCTAGAATCAATACCTTTTATCGAATTAATCTCTTCAATCTAAGTATCCTTAATCTTACACTAACATCAAAAAGAATTTTTTCTCAAATTCAAAACTAGTAAATACTCTTAAATATAAAATCTAATCATTTAAAAATATTATTCAAATTAAAAGGAAAAGAAGCTCTAATTACTCTTAATATAGAATCGATAGTTAGATATAATATTAAGCTAGCAAATTAAAAAAAATTCAAATCAATACTCAAATCAGAATCCTTATATTTCTTTATTCTTTTTATTTTAAACTTAATCATTTTAATTGAAAAGGATTTATTAAATCTTTTGGAAAATAAAGACAATTATTATTTAATTCTAAATCAAGCAGTAAGTAAACTTATTAGAATTATTCAAAAAGCAATAGAAAAGTGTATATCCAAAATTATTTTAATTAAAAAAGTTAAATTATAATGATTACCCGAATTGAAAGATCTTCGAAAAGAGTTAGGAAAAGTAAAGCAATTAATTGAATCAAATCTAGAGGACTCTAATTTTAAAGAAGAATATCAAATTATTAGAAATAAGTATTTCCAAGTTATTAAAATAGCAAAAAAGAATTATTGAAACGAATTTCTAGAAAAAAAGAATATACAAATTATATTCAAAATAATAGCCTATATTAAAGATTATTAAGATCAAAGGATATTGAATATTTCAATAAAAAGCTTATTTAAAGAAAATACTTTGCTTTTAAATTAATTCTATTCCTATCTCCTCCTATTATTATAAAACCATAATAGAAAGAATACAAATAATCCAAAAAATAGAAATAGTCTAATCTTTTTCAAATCGAATTAAATAATATCTATTCAATCAAAATATAAGGAAAAACCCTTAGCTTAGATAAATCACTTAAGAGATTATTATAAAAGCTTATAAAGCTATTCTATAAACCTTTTTTACTTTTTTTAACAAACTCATTAACCTAGAATATCATTCTCAATACTGGAAACAAGCCACTGAGGCTATTTTAAAGAAAGCCTTAAAACCAAATTATTCAGTTTTAAAAGTATATAGAGTTATTATATTATTAAATTGTTTTAAAAAAATAAGCGAAAGGATTTTAATCCAGTAATTAGAATATTTAGTGGAAATTACTTATCTTTTATATAAAAGTCAAATAGAAAATCAATAAAAGAAATCAGTAATTAATATTGCATTTTTATTAACTATAAAAATCGAAAGAAATAAGTAAGCTAATAAAAAAACCTTAATATTATTTATAAATATAAAAGAAGCCTTCAATTATATCTCGAAAAATCGATTATTAGATATTTGTAAGAAACTAAAACTATTTATAAATCTTATAGCCTGGATAGTCTTATTTCTTTAATAAAAATAACTAAAACTATCTTTTAATAATTAAATCGAATCTTTCAAACCAATTTCGATTAGAATATTATAAGGCAATCCAATCTTTTCAATCCTTTTTCTTATATATATAAGAAACCTTTTTTTTATTTAATTTAATAAAATTCCTTTTTTATATTGATGATATTGCTTTAATTGCTAATTCTTCTATATAAAAAAAGAATATCAAATCTCTAGAAAAAGCTATAAAACAAATCTATGAATTCAGCTCAAAGAATGCTATTCAATTCAATCTAGCAAAAACTGAGTTAATATACTTTTTATTATTCAATTTAACAAAAAACTACTTAATTATATTATTCAATTTGAAAATAATTATACCCTAATCTCTAATTAAATAATTGGGAATATGATTCAATCCGAGCCTCAAATTCGATCAATAAACAAAAAGACCATTGTTCTCCGTAAGGAGTGGCTGGCTCAGTGGTAAAGTGATTGGTGCCCACTTTTGCTCAGAGCTATATTCTGATCGATATCTGTCTTTTCGAAGCCTAGTCATTTACGAATCTACAGCTCATCATCTGCATACGATCAAAGAAGGGCGTCGTGCCCCCTTCCTGATCCTCTAGCCCCGACATGGAGGAGCCTCCGCTCTACCGCTACCCCACCTCCCCATTAGAAAAAGTGGTTCCATTTGTATTTGAGTGGTTACAATATATCTCCCTCTCTTGACAATAATGATTGTCTGCTTATAGCAGCCTATGATTGCCTTGGCCTTCAATAGTCTGATCACTTCGGCCTTACCAGTCTATGATTATTCCAGCCCTTATTGGCTGATATCCCTTGCCTTTTCACAAAGGCCTTGAATAATCCCTGGACTTCTCAGCATGAAGTGAGTTGGATAGTCCGAACTTGTAAATTGGAGTGGAATGGCAAAAGTACTCGTAGTGCGGCCGCCCTGCTCGCTACTAGTATTACAGCTGTAGAAAAACAAAATGCTTGGCTATGCCAGCAATTGTATGTATATAGAATTGTTAGTTTAGTCCATCCCTAGTACCCCCTGGGAGGTCGTGGCGAGCCCCTGTGGCTTGCCCCCCGGATGTAAAATAATAAATAAATAAATAAATAAATAAATTCGATCAATATATTAATATTCGAATTATACAAACCAAAGGAGTCTTCCATTGAATGATCCGATTAACTAATATCGAAAAGGGCCTTAATTCTAAAGCCTTCAGATAGTTATATATAGCAGATATAATTAATATAACTGATTACAAATTAGTGATTTAATAAAGAGATCAAATACAGTTTAAGAATATAATACAATTACTTCAAAACCTAGCTCTTCGAAAAATATTAGAAGTTTTCAAAATTGTCCTAATTCTTTTAATAGAAATAGAAGTAGGTCTAAAATCTTCAAAAATTCGATTAGATTTGAATATTAGATAATACGTATTCTGTTTAGCTAAACTTGTAATAAATTATTTAATCAATATCGAAAAAGTATTACTAATTCAATATTAAACCAATTTGGATATAATCCCTATTCCTTAGAGAAAACAATATAAATCTATTCAATTAGATAGAATAAAAGAATCAACAAATCAGAACTTTAATCTCTCCTTATTCAAAAAAATCATTCATTTTAACTTTCCCCTATAAAAAAGAGAAACCCCTTTTCAAATTAATATTAACAATTTATCAAAAGAAAATACTGTTATTCTTTATAATATTATTTTTAAATATAAAGATAAGGATACTATCTATATTTATACTAATACCTCCTTTACCAAAAAGAGAATTAGTATTGAAGTAGATATAGTGGCTATATAATCAAATAATCGAATTTTATATCAAGAGTAAAGCAATATTGATATTAATCAATTAGTATATAATAAAAAGCTTTTTGAAGTTATAAAAGCTATTGAATATATTAGTTCAATTGCTTATACTAATCAAAAGTTCAAAATCTATTCGGATAATCAAACTAATCTATATTGCTTAAAAACTCCTTCAGATCATTCAGAACAAACTAATCAGATAAGAGCAATCAAGGTAGTAGAAGTTATTAAAATAAAAGGAACTGAAATCTTATTAAATTAAATTTCTAGATATACTTTAATTAAAGGAAATAAGCTAGCAAATAAGCTAGTCAAAAAAGCAACTACAATACAACCCACCTCAAACAAAATAAGCTTTGGATTATTAGATATAATTATTAAAGAATATATCTTAAATCAATAGATTGATATTTTTAATCAATACGAACTCAGATCAAATCAATTCCCATTAACTTACTCGAAGCTATTTCTATAGAAAATAAATTCCAAAATCAAGCTATTAAACAGAACTACTTGAAATACTACTAGTACATTTTTTCAATTCAAATTAGATTACGGATATATCAAATCCTATTTATATCATTTCAAACTTACTAATAATAAATATATATATAACAATATTAAGGTATTATAATACCTTCTTATTAGCTATTCTATATATAAAATAAAAAGAAAAGAAATCTTTAAGAAAATCCTATTATCCAAAATCACTATACAATTTCTATTATATATAAAGATAGATATCGAATTAGCTATCAAATTTATCAATATTACTAAAATCGCTATAAGGGTATAGTATCTAGTAAGAACTGAGCCCTGCTGCTCGGCTAAACAAATAGCAACCCACTCTCACTTCTTCTCCTCTACTATAGGGATCAAAGCCCACAACGAGCCTATCCATCTGGGAATCAAGCTCTGCCTTAACAACAACCCGGATCAGATGTTCCCTTCTAGAAACAAAAGTGGATCGCATCCATAGAGAAGCGAATAGCCCCTGGCATTGAAATTAAATTGCTAAATTCAGTTGTGACAATCATATCGCTCAAATAGTTCCTTATCTTAGCATATCTAAATACCCTTAGGGAGATCCAAAACAGACATTAATTAATATAAATAAAAAAAAAAAAAAAAAATCTAGTAAGAACTCTTGAACAAAAAGTAATAGAAAAAAGAGTAGTAATGAAAGAGAAAAGAGAAGAAGAGAATAAAGAAGAAGTAGTTGAGGAAATAAAAGGGAGGTTTAATCTTTTCACAATTTTTTGATTTTCAAATTTTTTTTATTATATATAATGTATATAATGAACAGGCATTGTTCCCCAGTATTTGTTTTCATTTCCTTAATTAGATTATATTCAATATTGTAAATTAAAAAGTTATCTGATAGGCCCTTAGGGCCTAGCCGTCCTATATAGTCTTGAACTGAAGATGGACGTTAATAAAATCAATCAATCAATCAATCAACTATAGAACCCATAATCCCTATAAAACACAAACATCCCTTGCATATCATCCTTGACGGCAGGTGGCATCCACTCCTTGAAGAGTTCATCGAGAACCTGCTGATATGCGACTATCTTTCCAGTAATATTGGACACAATCTCCGCAATTTGTTCCCACGTGTACCACCCCTCCATCGCCTCTAAAACCTTCCCCTCGTATTGATCCGGGGATTCAAGAATAGGGCAATCCAGTTTCCCATCTCCGTCGCGTCAATAAGTGGCATCCGCGTATCAGGCTTGCATAGTGTCGCAAAGACATATGTCCCGTCATTCTCGGGTGATGGTCTCGGTGGCATGAGCTGGTTAGTGAAATTTTGCATAAAGTACGCCGGGCAATAGAAAGCAGACTTGATCGGCAAACTGCGGATGTACTGTTCAATGTCGGCTTTGGTGTCGAAATGATTAACACATAACTTTCTACTCGAAATAGCTGTCACAGGTGGGAGTGTCTGCCAGATAATATACTGTGCTCCAGCGGCGATTGCTGCGGCGCAGAGAGCTTTGGCTTGCGCAGTTTCGATCTCACGGGTATCGCCTGTGAGTGTAGTGCTTGTCATGGCAAAGACGGTATGCGCATCTTCGAGTGCTGCTTTCAAAGATAGAGGATCATTGAGATCCGCTGAAACTACTTCGGCGCCCTTAATTGCAAGATTCTGAGCTTTCAGGCTGGTGGTTGAGCGGCTGATGGCTAAGGTTCCAGCTATAAGTTTCGATTGCTCCCAATTTCTTATCTCTTCAACCAGCTATTCATTAATTCATCTCTTCTTGTACATACTACATCTCAAGCTCCTATTTGCTATCTTCATCAATCAAAATGAAGATCACTCAAGCCTCCCTCCTCTTGTCTAGTTTGGCCTCCGTTGCCTTGGCCCAAGACGCAAACTGTACCACCGCAAGTCTCAACACTACTGCTTCCACCTAGACTGTCACAGAGACCGACACGATCTTCAGTATTGCCGCAGCTACCAACCGTGGAGTTTGTGATATTACTCGCGCCAGCAGAATGCCAGATGCTGAATACATCGACACCGGCTTCGTGTTGATCATTCCCGCTGAAGTTTGCAGTCCGGATAACGAATCCTGTCTTCTCACTGCCTCAGATGACACAACTTCATGTCTTTACGGAGGACCCCATACATACACTACTGTGCGTAATGATACCGTTACCAAGATCGCCTTAAAATTCAACATCGATGTTTCTGCCATCTCAGCCGATGTTATTTCCATGCTCGGTGTTTCATCCGTCGATGAAATTATCGCCGCTGGTAGTTTGATGAAGTTGCCTCAATGTAGCCCTTCCGAATGTTCTGTTCAGCCAATTCAGTTCACGTATGGTGTCTATAAGGATTTGGCCGAGAAATACAATTCAACCGTGGGTCAACTATTTGGATTCAACACTGGTTATCGTTATAGTTCGTCGATTGAATCTCTATCGCCCGTTCTTACTATCCCAATGAACTGCAGAGCGATTTCAGATAATATCACTATTATCTCTTGAGTTATGTGTTGGCAGATAAGCTTTTGAGTTGGTCTTGAGTCACTCAAATAATTGAAGGATGTGGAGTAAAAAGTGTGTTAGCATGTTTGATGATATTCCAAGGTTGTTTCCTTGGAGAGTAAATTGGCTTTGTGAAGTCTGCATGAGGATTTAATGCGAAGTTATGAGACCATCCTGCTCTGGATGGGATATGGTATTGATGTTGTTATAAATTAGTCACTGAGAATAAAAACTCAGAACAATTTTAGTCTCAGCACATCTCTGATGTATGTTTGTCATCAATGTCACCAAATCGCGAAAACCTAAAATTCCTACCGAAATCATACCGAATGGTACCCTCCTTCCTACCTAACCACATCGACAAATTTTTGACTCTCCCAAAGTTATGACCCATTACTTCTTTGATAAGTCCACTTTGGCAACTGAATATGTATTCTAAATCCGACACAACTCGCATCAAATAACAAGCAAGTTGGCGCAGTGGAAGCGCGCCGGGCTCATAACCCGGAGGTCCCCAGATCGAAACTGGGACTTGCTAGAGAACAAAGTTTACCTTTTTGAGTCTCTTTCAACGGAAGACATCTATCATGATGTCGCTGGCAGAAGGTTTGTTGAAAAAATATCTGTTCTGGGATACTATTCTCGTTTTCATACAATAATTTTTTTCTCTTTTTTCTGATAGCTAGGAGTGGATCAATCGATAAGATCTTTCGGCTTCGGAAAGAGGATTAGGGTTCCGAGGTGGGCCGATCTCGTCCGGCTGTGTCAAATGCCCCACCAAGTCCAGAACATCAACATTCACATGACTTTTTACGCTGATAATATAATGAGAATTCATTGCTTGAACTGATTTGTAGCCTACTTTGAAAATAAAAGCTATTCGCACTTACCAAGCCAGAACCTTATCAATTGAATAGTTGAAGTGAATGATATAATCCCACTGAACCATTGGTAGGTATCATTAGTCAACCTCAAAGAGGTGTCCAAGACGATGTACTAATTGATTGCCAGACTGCTACATTCACAAGAGGATATGCCAGGTTGCCATAAGGTTTACCCATGGCACAGGGCTGAGTAGCGCCACTTATTATTAATGTGCTCCAGCTTCAATCAACAATTCGTTTCATTTCGTTGCTCTCATATTGATCAGAAAACAATCAATCTACGTAGGTATACCCATAAATTTACAGTTTTGTTTCGCATCAAATAGTCATTTTACGAATTCCATGAAATCTGCAATTGTTGATCTTTTTTGTAACTATAACAACAGACGTCATGTCCCCCATGAATTATCTCAGTCTGTAGGTTAATTAACCCAATTGATGTATATCAAATCATGGTTGCTGATACTCAACTTTGTTTTATTGAAGGCTCCTAGTCGTCGCGACATTCATCTCTTACATCCCTCAATATCAGCGTATGCTCACTTTGAGCTCATCAGCTGGTCTTTCCATCGCAAGCGTTCTTATTATCACATTGATGAATCAAGTACAAACTGTTACTATGTACTATCTTTTTAAGACGGCACCAGACATGAGATACGGCATTCCGATCGCTACACCACCTTCCATTCGTGACTGGCTTAACCTCTCTCAGATTCTTGTTCAGTGGAGTTGCTCGTTGTTCTTGTACGTTGCTTGAAAAATAAACATTTTTCATGTTGCAGATCCAGCTAAAATTTCAATAGATTTGCGCTCGTCATTTATCTACCCTCTCCAACGATCAGCCCTACTGCTAAAAGAGTTGCAGTGGGGCTTTGGATCTTCCATGGGCTCTTTTCTATCTTCTATATTGTTGTAGGAGGTCGACCCGAAGACATAGTATTTAATATCAACCGCAATCTTCACGTCAGCATCGTCAATCCTCTCTTCATCTTCCTGGCTGTCGTTGCTTTTTATCTTCAGGCTCGTATAATACCACCTGTCAATAAACCGGGTGCATATAGCGAATGGACACTTGGCACCCAGTTATTCATATTCATGCTTCTTGCCGTTTCGTGGCCTTTCAGGCTGATACTTCCTCTTAATATGTGGGAGTTGGGACCGCAGGCAGCCATATTTCTTGGATGGTACCCTTGGGTTGGATGGGCTTGTATCAATACCACTATCTTGACCTTTGATCGAGGCATTCTGCTACTTTTATGTATTAGAACAGCGAGATTCAATGGCGAGTTTGGATCTCATGATGAACACGAGGGTTTGATTCGCCCTAGAGAGCTTTAGATCGAACGAAGAACAGATCTGTTACCTATTCATATCTACAGCATGCTTGTTCTCAATTTATTTGACTATTGAAGATCATCCGACATAGCGCTTCAACATTATCACTTTACTGTTTACGTGATTGAAATGTACGGTACATCGCGAAACTAAATCCTCGATCAAATGTCGTTTCAGACGCCAGTAGCATACTCTAATTACGCTAGAGACATACCGGCACCATGACCAACAAAATCAGACCAAAAGTTGGTCTGCATTGTCACATTTCCGCCAAATGTTTGATTCGGCTGATTCTCGTCGAATTTTGACCAGAAATCGTCGAGATAGTCCGACCAAAGAGTAGAATTTTGATCCCAAGGCATTTTATCAATGTCAGCTTGCTGGACGCTATTCAAATAAATGATGGTTGGATCCATCAAAATTTCGTTCTCTTCATTTGAATCGTAAGGATAGTGCCAACACCAAAGTTTGGGATTATTCAAGTCTGGCTCATTAACCCCTGGTTCACAAAAGAGATGGTCGGCTCCTAACAAAACGTCTATATCGATATGTTTGACGTTGCTTCCACTGTTCTGGTGTACAGCCTCCTTAATGGCAGGATTCAATGTCACACTCATCAAATTGAAGTCTTGATGCAGATCCGTAGTCATCAATGGATGTTGCTTGTTATCAGGATTCAGATTTGTGGTCCTCGCAAAGGTCACATTATTGCAACCGGGGTCTTGATCATTAAAAATTAACCACAGCCAGTCACATAAAGTCGAAACTCTCTCCCAGTTGCTGCCTGACCATATTGGACGACTTTTTTGATCACAGAATCAATCTTGAATACAAAATCCCTATCCGGCGTCCATCAATATACTCTCCTGAACCAACACCAGAAGCATATGAGTCGCCCCAAACGATCCATTCGAAAGAAGTTGCTCTGTCGTCAAAACGAGTCGACTTGCCAGTATTTAATGGAAGGTAGGCTAGGATAGAAGTTGCAAACAAGACTAGGCTAAAGCTATTCATGGTATAGTGATTTCAAGATATGAGTTCAACGTAGAAGGTCGTATATCGGCAAAATGCTGTTATGATTGAACACATCTGATCATATCTTATCATATTTTCGAATCCCCATATTTATATAAATGATGGTATAGACTTTGTCCACAGGACGTACTACCTGCAACACACTCTAACAGATCTCCAACTATCTATCATGGAATTGTATCAGTTTGTGATTCCCCCTCATCAGGTATCACCAACTCATGTCCACATGCGCCTTTATATGTGCCTCTCCAGCTCCCAAGTTCGTGCCTTCATACATAACAATACACTGTTGGAATCGAGGAACAGTGTCAAGTTGACCTCCCATAGATGAAGAAATATACCTTAAAGCTCAAACAGTTAACGAACACTACATACATATAACACATCCTTAAATATTTCAATTGGGCCCCAACGTCGGCAATTCACTGAAAAAGTGGTTCAAATGGTGCTATTTGCTCTCTGGCATTACCAGAAAGAATATACGAGGTAGCAGATAGAAGGGTGCTATTGAACAAATGATGGCTATGCTCTTCGAAGGTTCAAGGAATGAAAATATGTAGCCTTCACCCTTGGCAGTCTCGTTTAATGACTACTTGCGCCGTCTCTAAACCTTTTGAGAAAGAAAAAGGCCTCGACAGAGACAGAAATAAAGTATCACAAAATTCCAATCCAATAGACCACATTGTCAACCTGGAATTGTTAGTTGTTTGTTTCGAATCTTGTACAGCCCACTTCAAATGATATGGTGAATGATATCTGTGCCGCAGAGCTGAGTAAATTGGGGGCGCAGAAAAGTTGGGAAAATTAATTCACCACCCACACGATCTTATCTTCCTGCCATTTCTTGAAATTAATTTCTTTCACGAATCTCCAGCATCTCAATCCTCATTTAATTGCACAATAAGCTTCCCAAAATCAAATACCACGGCAAGACAAACTCGTAAAGCTTACTCTTTTGAGGCAGCTTATTCTCAATAAGATCCTACCCTGATTCCCGCACTCAGTCCCACTTTCTTCTGACTTACATGACACGTTACGAAATGTTATTCTTAGTCATCTTCCTGTTACACGCCTTTGCGCAGGGCAGAAACATTGACAACGATCAACAACGACCTCTTACGCTCGAAAACTCAAGTATTCCTCGGGAAATTCCTGGTGATTCGATCGTCAAATTATGTCCAGAATCCCTTGATACAAACATCCTCAAAATCGACAAAATTTTGAACAGACCGGAACCTATTTTGTATGTCTCAACAAACTCTTTTATGGGACCCCTTCACTACGGGTGATCATCTAACTGGCCTTTTAGAGACGAAGAAATAGATATTTTCATCTGGGGTAATTTCTCAAACTATTCATCCCCATCATTTCAACCAATGAATTGTGTGCTTCCACTGACGTCAAACTCAACAGGTAGCTTCAGCCGTGATATCTCACCCAACTCGACTGTAGATTTTCAGATCAATGCCACCGCCAATACCGGGGATTATGGCTTCTATAACGGCACATTTTCTATATGCGATTATCTCGAGCAGACGCGTCAACTTCCTGATTTGAATGTTACAAAAGCATGCCCACCTCATGAAGGGTCCGTGTTCATCGATTATGCTGCTTGGTTTGCTTACTTTTTGACCGCTCCTGTATGTATTGAAGTAACATCATTGACTTAATACAAATCAGAGGCTTATGATATCGTAGGGAAATTGGAGCATGAAGTTTGATGCGAAGACACCAGAGGGAGAGAGAATTTACTGTCTTCAGACAGAATTTGATCTGCAATGTCCACCAGAAAGGGACGATTATAGATGTTTGAGGAATTTGACTGATACGCTTGATATTCCTTGGATGATGAAGAAATCAGAGATTCTTTGAAATTGTTCAAGGTTTATGGGTACGGGTGGGATCTGGGTTTATTAGGTTCTTGTTGGGGTAAATTGATGAAGAAGTTATAACATATTTCATTTCCTCAATAATAAACCAAGTGTGATAAAAGCATCCAGAGGAGATCCGTTGAAAAAATTGTATCAACATGCTGCGAATATACTATACTAGTTCGTTAAATCAAATAGTTAGTGAACGTAAAGCAGTTCCAAATCCGTCCAGCTGGAAATTCTGCTGCATGTCTGCTGCTATCTGGATAAATAATTCAATACCATACTTTTCTTTGGGTGTTGATGGGTACCTAGGTATGTGTCATTGGTATGAATATTCCTTATCAATCTCATATATTTTGTTGAAAATTAGCCTCCTGAGCCTCCCTTAAGATAAAACACAAGAATCTTCATTCTTAGAATGAGATCCACTCTGAGGTTTCCTCTGGAATTGCGACGATTAGACTAAGAATAATTGAGATCCGTAAGTACGGGGCACAACTCAATCGTCGTAGCATTATAAATCAAGATTCAATCGGATGATTTCAGGGTCACGGTCAAAGTCAGCACCATTATGTACTACATGTTATTGATGTTCCATATTAAACGCAGTCCCTCTGATATAAGATCGACGGATCTCTCTCTCTCTTTCTGATTGTTCTGTCTTGTCTAGATCGCTCTCATAATGAAAGATTAAGTCAAAGAGACGTAGTCCTGTACTCTAGAGATCTAATTATTGTTATCTCGAAAAACTTCTTGGGCCTGGAGTATTTGAAGCTAAAGTTCTTACTGCCAAATCTAGCTTTTCTTGGTCGGGGACTGAACCATCAATTATTGCGAAAAATTTGGACTACGCAACATCTCTCGTGAAATTTCCATCTGATTCACACGCCTCACTTGTCTCAGAGTCTGAGGAACATCATACTTGCCACCTTCACATCATAATGTGCACCTCGTTCGGGCTCAACTACTTCTTACAAACGTTTCAGGCAAATTAAGCTAGGTGAAAATCCTATCGCATGTGTCCGTAGTACAAACTAACGCCGAGTTTTTCAATCCATCTTCAAGTTGGGCCTGGTCTTGGAGCTCTTTATGAGGACGCTCCAATTTTGCAGACAGACAATCTTTGAGGATCATTTAAATTAGGTTTCATACTTATTGAGCGTTCTATGCCCTGTGGTGGCAGAATCCGTGGTTGACGAATAAATTATTTCGTCAATTGTATTAAAAATTTCAATAGTCAATAATATATTGAAAAAATGGGTCATATAGTATTAATGTGATTGATTTTTATATATGTATATGATTAGAAATTTTTACTTTCAAAGGGACTTAGAGAAATTTTCGAAATTTATCGATTTTTCGAAATTTCTTGATTTTCGAAAGTTTTAGCCTAAGGCTATTTACAAGTAAAAAAGCTTACTTGTAATTAATTTCGATTAATAATCGATTATTAATCGAATATAACTATATAGATTAGAGTTGACTGATATTCTTGTTTAAATAGTCCATTCTGTACTGTATAGTACAGTGGTAAAGCTTTTGATTGAAGAATAAATCGAAAGTGAAGTGAGTGATCTGTGAACAGACCCCCCTTTAGACTTTCGGCTAACGCCCTCCACCCACCCTTTAGCTCCCCCGCTCGCTCTCCTCTTCCTTTAGCTCCTACGCTCACTCCTCTCCTCCTCCCAGCTTCTACGCTCGCTCCCCTTCCGTCCAACTTTCCTAAGTTCCTTCAGCTGAAGGGCCTTTATTTTCTTTATATTTATTAAAATTCAATAATAAACGGTTCTCATTTTGAACTGGAAAGATTCGTCGATGATGAAATATGTATTTCGTCAGGGACGAAAAAAGATTAAATTCAATAATGTACGTATCAAATATTTATATAGGGATTTATACTGTCATTTTTTTCGTACATAGGTATTAACTTTGCCACCACAGGGATGCCGCAGTCTATATACAGCTATGTATATGGGAGTATGTTTTATTTGGAAGTTTAAGATAAAAAAAATTGCAAAGTGGCAATGGAGCTACATTTTGGGGAACGCTTCTCGCGAGATTGAGTTACGATTACTAATTGTAACGCAATCATCATAAATACAGGTAGATGGAACGAGGCTTGCTCAATAAATATTTGGTGAAAGATTATTACTGATTCACTCAATCTTTTCGAGTGGTCATTCCCATCGAGAAGTCCATTCCACTAATTGATGAGAATCTTTACACATGTGTTGAGTACCAAATCCTCGCACGCCAGCCTTGCCCTCAGATGCTTTCTCCGCAGGCTCGATTGTCGTGTCAGCTGCACACATAAGACTTTGCCGAAGATACTCTAGGCAATGCCGAACATGAGTATCTGCCGAATGCTCGGCATGATTGGAATGACCTCCCTCTGAATGGTTTCCATTGCGCACGAGCCAATAGGAATTGCGAATTCCGTCCTAATTTCGAGCAGTTAGAGTTATGTTTGGCTGTATACTGTACAAATGACGTATTCTGAGTCACTTACCAGGCAGTGAAGCTGGTGAAAGACAGCAAAAGCAACAGGATTGGGACCGACATCAGGGTGTTCAAAGAAACCACCATTCAGTGGAAAAAGAGAGTCCCAGCGTTGGTTCGTGAGGTTCGAAGGGGCTTCAGCGAAGTTGAGTTCATATTCAAAAGTGACGGGAACACTATTCACTAGCCTGGAATTAATACTAAGCACATATGTGGGATTAAACACCTAGAGGCTTACACTGTATCAAACCTTTGTTTCCATTTATTGCCCAACGTCTTCCCATGAGATAACCACTGATTCCTGAGATGATAGACGCCAACAGTATTAAGACGGTGATCAATGTACTTTTTGATAGCCTCAATGGTCCTGTAAGGAGATTCCCACTACGGCCAGATGAGATTGAATCTTTGTCCGACAGGATACTATATTGGCTCCTCTTGATACCTGTACAAAGATCCATTGGGATTTTTTCGATACACAATGAATTTCCTCCCCGAAAGGCTTTATGGTTCGCCAGAGATGTGAAATGAATGCTGAAAATATGCGAGTAACAACAAAGCGGCCTTGGGGAAGTAGATGATCCATTAACATAAGAAGAGTCTGTTAGACCTGGGATGCAAAGACTCAACACCTATACACAGTACATCCTACGAATCTTTAGCTTTTTCTTGAGAATCTGCAGAGTTAAGATTGAATTGTAAATAGAATTAAAAGAATTGAATACTAGCTTTAAATATGGATACAAAGATTACAGAAGCCTCAATTAGATTCAACATCTATTATCGATTACTATTTCAAATATAGAAATATGATATGCAGTAGATCTTTTCTTTTAAAAAAGTCTTTTCGATATAGAGCTTATCACCATTCTATTTATATTATAATCCTTTTTTTATACCCTTTAGCTTTTAGCCATTCAAATACTATAATAATATAATATAGAGAATATCATTACCTTCAAATTAATACTATACTCTAGATATCGATACAATACAACATTTTTCTTTTAATTTTCAAATTTTCGAATTTTCCGAATTGATTTGTGTGTGGGCAATAGGGCTTAGGATTCAGCCCTGCCCTATTATTTTCAATAGTTTCGATTATATATATCTAATAAGAATTGGAGAATATCAAGCTTATAAAAATATATAAGAGGTTAGTTTAAAAGAGATAAAGATAAAGAAAAGTAGTGCCTTTTTTTATTACTTTATTAGCAAGAGAATCCTTTATTATATTAAAGGCAATTCAAGAGAGAATAACTCTTGCCTTTTATAGAAAGAGAGGAATAGCAAATTGGATTTAGGATTTTAAAAAGAGAAATTGGATATTGGGATGCTTTAATTGAATTAGGGGTAGAGAAAGAGCAAGAAAGGAAGTGTTTCAGAGAATGAAGACTATTTAATCTCTATTTGCACTCCGAATAGAGATCGGATATAGCACCCCAGCATTTGTTTTTACTCCCCCAAATTGAATATATCTACTGTAGATATCCACTAGCAGTTGTTAGGTTCTTAAAGCCTAGCCGTCCTAAATAGTCTTGGACTGAGAAAAGGACGTTAATTAAATCAATCAATCAATCAACCACGGTTTTTGGAATCTTATAGCCCAAAACGTTACTGTGTATCGCGACGAAGTGAAGATGATCAACGATAGGACGCTGTATCTTCAAGATGGTTCTCATTTCCCTTGCGATGCAGTCTTTTGTGGAACGGGTTGGAAACTCGGAGTTGAATTTTTTGGTGATGATCTCGAACTTGATCTGCTTCACAAGAAGGAAATTAAACCACACGAGGTGACAGCAAAATGGAAACCTCTTACCATGGAAGCCGATTACCCTGTGGTGGCAGAGTTAATACCTATGTACGAATAAAATATCAGTATAAATCCCTATATAAATATTTGATACATACATTATTGAATTCAAGCTTTTTTCGTCCCTAACAAAATACATTCTTCATTATCGATGAATATTTCCAGTTCAAAATGACAATCATTTATTATTGACATTTTAATAATAGAAAAAAAGAAAATAAAGGTATTCCAGTTAAAGAATCTTTATGATTTTTAGAAAAGATGAACAGAAGGGGAGTAAATATAAAAGTTAAAAGGAAATCAAAAAAATAAATAAAAGTTAGAAGAAAAAGAAAAATAAGTAAGAAAGTGAGTGTAAAAGTTAAAAGGTGAAAGAAATGAATGAAAAATATTAATCGAAAATCTAAAGAGGGGTTTGTTCACAAATCACTTATTTCACTTTTGATTTATTTTTCAATCAAAAGTTTTATTATTATACTATATAATACAGAATATATTGTTTAAACAAGAATCTTAATCAATTCTAATATATATAATTATATTTTGAAATCGATTATTAATCGAATTCAATACAAATAAACTTTTTGACTTGTAAATAGCCTTAAACTAAAACTTTCGAAAATCAAGAAATTTCGAAAAATTAATAAATTTCGAAAATTTCTCTAAATCCCTTTAAAGTAAAAATTTCTAATTATATATATATATATATAAAAATTAATCACATTAATACTATATAACCCATTTTTTCAATATAATATTAACTATTGAAATTTTTAATACAATTAACGAAATGATTTATTCGTCAACCACGGATTCTGCCACCACAGGGTTAAAGGTTGAGAAAGAAATACCCGCTCCTCGCAAATCCTCCAAATCATTTCCACAAAAGTATTGATACGACTCCATACCGATTGGAAAATGGAGTCGATCCATTAAGCGACGATTTGATTCTTTTCATATTTTATATCACGGCAGGAAACAAAATATTCGCTGCAGAAGATCAAGCAATATGGGCGGTAGCTTACTTTGACAAAGGACTTATTCTACCTCTAATGGAAGAAAGAGAAAAGGAGATCGCGAACTGGGTCGCTTCTGTAGGTTGAGATACCTCTCTAATGGTGAACAGGGAAATTTTGCTGCTGTCGATAGTGTTCTCTATGTTGATAAGTTGCTTAGGGATAATGGCCTTGCGGAGCTGGTGAAGATATTTTTTCGAACCATTTAAGCCATATTATTTGGACAAAGCAAGGAAGGAATATCTCGGTAGGGAACACCAGTAAATATAACGTGCATTCTCAATCGAATGGCCTCTCCTTGTAGCCTGGCGCATCTATGGGAGCTTCTTTTTTTTTCATATTTAGGATTGACGCGATGAAATTCATCCAGACCAATGTCGGTGGTTTGCTTGTCTTCCGAATGATATCTCGTATACTTCAAATAAGAAGAGAAGTTTATTCAAGATATCAATATGTTGAAAATTCAAGTTCAAGGTTTTATAATAAGTGGCATTCATATATCGTTGTACTAAGCACCTGCAAAGAAAAGTATCTCAAATCAGATGACACTCTCGATGGAATAGCCAGCAACAGAAAGTTGTGCCCTGGTGGCCCGAAGCTGGGAATTGGCCCGGCATTTATCCGGCACGTCAGGTACGCCATCCATCAATTGCCGACGCTTTTTTTGTTTACGGCGTAGTGCGTGAGAGTCGCGCATAATAAAGATGGAGGCAGCGCGGAACCCAGCAAGCTTACATTGTCCCGATTATTGAGATGCATCATATCTATGACGTGGGGGACGACGAGGTGCTTCATATGCATTTCTTCTGACAAGATTCAACGAAGGTGGACAGCGAGACTTGACTTTCACACCGCCCTATATCAAGACTACACCACCGAAAAATGTCAATTTGTCCAAGAATTCAAGTAGCACTCGGCACTTGCAAGGCGACTCATATCGCTAGCTATTCTTCATGTCATCACAGTCGTGAATTCAACAAAAATACTCCCCGTCGGACGATCATCGTTATATCTCGTAACCATGCATCGTACCTGGCTCAATAAGGTCATCGATCGCCACATTTACCCCGCAATTCCCCGCATGTACCTGCCACCAAACTTTCAACACTTGGATGGCTTGAATGACTCCATTACCGGGTAGAATTTTACCGAAACTTCGTTGTAGCTACATAAGTTACACTCGGAGACGTCATGTAAGTCTCCCATGGTAATATTTCTCATTCTTTACACACACCACAAAAATGTTGTCTCAAATCTTCCTCACAGCATTAAGTTTCCCCCTTTTCGTATCCCTCTCTTCATCCACTGCTGTCTCCCTCGTCAAAGAGAAGAGATGCATCGTAGAGGCCAGTGCCAGCGGCAGCGATGACGCACCAGCAATAATTCACGCCTTTAAAGAATGCGGCCACAATGACGGGATCACCACTCACGGGACCGTCGTATTCAAAAACACAACCTACAACATCCAAACCGTTATGAACACCACCGGTCTATCCAATGTGAAAGTTGACCTTCACGGTACACTGTTATGGGATACCAACATTCCATACTGGCTGAATAATTCCCTCCCTGTAGGATATCAGAATCAAAGTAGTGCATGGCTTTTTGGGGGCGAGAATGTTCATTGGGATGGTCATGGATATGGAACTTTAGATGGAAATGGAGAGGTTTGGTATGAATTTATTAATGGGGCGAATAATTATCCAGGGAGACCTCATCAGATTACATATACAGGTGTTAAAAACTGTGTTTTTGAAAATTTGAGGTTCGTGCAGAGTCAGATGTGGACGATGACTATTATTCACGCAAAGGATATTTTGTTGGAGAATATTTATGTGAATAGTACGGATGTAAGACCAGTTGGATTTGAATTTAGTAGTTTGAATGTAAGTATTTTTTGTACTATTGCGTGTGCTGGGGTGATCTCAATGGAAATATGGAGGCTGATCTTGGATACATAGACTGATGGTGCTGATACTATCTATGCGGATAATATCACCTTCCGTGGCTGGACGGTGGATAATGGCGACGATTCCATCTCTATGAAAGCCAATTCAACCAATATTCTCATCGAAGATTGTGATTTCTACACAGGGCTTGGTGTAGCCATCGGGAGTATCGGTCAATATGGTAAGTCTCCTGGATACCTATCATAAGATAGATCTGATTAACCCTTTCTTCCATCACAGAGGGCAGATATGAAGTAATTGAAAACGTCACCGCTCGCAATATTCGCTCTTACAACATGCGCTATGGGGTTTACATGAAAACCTGGACTGGAGTATCCACTGGGTAAGACCACTACTTCATCAACTTTTTAAGTTTCACTAACAATCCCAGATACCCTCCGAATGGTGGAGGCGCCGGTCTGGGCCACGCAACCAACCTTTCTTTTACCAATTTCACGCTTCATAATAATACCGGCATAATCGCCATAACACAATGTACATCTTACAACTCTGCAACTGGGAATTGCGACACCTCACTATTCAATCTGTCCAACATGACCTTCGCTTCTTGGAGCGGTACAGCCTCTAGCGATGTGGTAGCAGAGTTACAGTGTAGTGGTGCCGCGCCTTGCACGGGTATTCTGATAGAGGGTATGGAAGGTATTTTGGATACCGTGAACAACACAAAACCAGCGCAGTATCTTTGTGATAGTGTTGTGGAACCTAATGGATTTAATTGTACGGGTGTGCCATTTGGAGAGAATCCCAGATAGAATGGCGGGGAGGAGAAGAGGACGAGACGAACAAATTGATGACATGAACGATAGAAGGTGCACCTCATTGCGCTCCTTCCTTCTCAAAATAAGACTCCTTCACCAAGGATATATATTCCTTCTTTCCCTTGAAAATTGAATAGATGATCAGAATTGATGTGGAAGGAAAGAGTCGCCAGTGCCACCACTGAGTATATCAAGTTAATTCACAGCCACAATCTTCCTGTTCACAAACATAATTTTATTTCCTTGATGCCTTCACCACAAGTATTATCATAGAATTGTTATCGTCTCGCTTTGAGTCAGTATCTACCCATTTTATTCTATAAACACCTCTTGTCAAGGACATTTTTGGTTTCTTGGCGCCCCCCAAACCCACTCAAAGATACAATGTTCACAATCGATTCATTATTTGGCCCCGACTACCCACTGAAATTTGCCTCTTTTAGTTTTTTCATTTTGGTTCTTGTGATCTGGGCGGTTTTCACAATCAATTCATTACTTGGCCCCGACTACCCACTGAAATTTGCCTTTTTCGGTGTTTGCATTTTGGCTCGTCTTCTGTTCTGGGCGGTTTCCAGTTTTTACAGACTTTGCAGACTTGACTGCACATCTTCGAAAGCGCCTGCGAACTCGAGGAATAATGTTGAGGAGATACGTTTCGGAACGCAATCTGGTGTCTGGCAGACAGCTGGACCACCTGGAAGAAATGCACGGCATTAATGATACAAAGCAAACAACAAGACTCAAGAAGATTCAATTTCCAAGTATATTCCAACGTTTGAAAAATGCTATCTCTTGGAATGGTCGTGATGGTCGTCAATTGTGGAAAGAGTACCCCGCTGAACCTATCTTGAATCAATCTACAATGAGGGCACTATTGAAAGTCGAGGGTGATCTTTTGAGAGTTGTGTTTCCTGAAGACAATGTCCCTGCAAGATCCAGACATCCCAAATCGCAAGCTGCCACATCTACACTCCGTCCAAAAATCTCGCCGACCACCCAATCAGATATTGCGTACGAACACAAAGTGTTTGGACCAAGTATCGCTCAAGAGAAAGCGGATGCTTCTGCCGTCTATAGAGTCAAACTCCTCACTGCGAATTCTTACGATCCTTTCACATACATCAAGTCTCATGAAAAAGAAGATAAGAGACCAGAGCTAGTTGGTGATAAACTCGTTTCTTGAGTTGTGTTGGAGGAGAGCTTGGAACCCAATACGCAAAGAGTACGAAAGGAACTGCAATCGACAATACTGGGTTCTTTTCAAAAATAGGTGAGAGAAACTCCAAACTCATTATCTTTCGTCTCTTCTAACATTCGAAAGTAGGCATGAGATGTTCAAAGTCCATCACACGGTTTCTCTCTGTTCCATACGGCAGTCGTCGGGTTGAAGAGGCTCTTTGAATTAGCGTATACTTATTCTCATATGAAGAATATGACGGCGAGATGGTCTTACAAATATTCCTTAAAGAATCAGCAGGCTGTTTGTATTAGTTTCTATATTCCAAAAACGAATAGGTAGCGGTCATCAATTTATTATTGTCTTCTGACTCTCAAGTTACAAATCAGCCGAGGATGAGTGCAAGCCATGATTGAATTCTGGTCAAAGAAACATGAAGGTCCCCGTTGAAAGAAATGTAGAGATGCTCATATTCGGTCTTTTCCTCTCTCTCCCGGGATTAGACCTCGAATTGTAAGACTTGCAGCTCAATTCAATACATTAATTGGTGAAAAGGCAAACATCTTTTAATTTCCGCAAGAAATCAGTCTATAACATCACACAACAAATTTCGAAGGAAACTTTTTCTTCGAAATACAACCCTTTCGCGATCGATTTAGATTATAATTATTAAACCAAATTGATTACAATTGCTTCTCAGTGATTCTGACTAGTAATTGTTGTGCTATTGTTATTAGTACTTCGAATACAAAATATATATAAAAATTCGCATAAAATTTTCTTATTCTAAATTATCAGAATAAAAATAAGATCCTCAATATAAACTCTCTTAATAATCTATCAATACTTAAAGATATAGTTATAATAAAGACTCCTTCTGAAGCCTTTATTATACCAAACATTTATTCTATTATTATTCTAAGTATCTCAATATTTTCAAACTCTTTTCTGCTTTCTGAAAACCCTTAATTCAAAATCTCTAGCTCTATTCTACCAATCAATTAGCTAATCAGTTTTGAAAAAAGATTTGAAGAATTTAATTTATTTAATAATTTTTTTATTATTCAAGATATAATCAATACTATTTATATATTTAATTAGAATAAAAAACAAAGCTCTACAATATCTCTTAGCAATCAAAATAAATAATCTAGAATCCAAAACAACCCAAATATATTCAAAAAAGCTATTTTGAAAACTAGAGACTTTATAATGCTAGCTTTCTTTCTTTTCTAATTATATAAAAAACAATTCAAGCTTTTAGATTTTTTAAAGATTTTTAGAGAATATATTGAAAAAAGGAAGCTTATTACAACTTCTAATATTGTTATCTTTCAAATTACTTATTTGGAAATCACTATATGCAAAATCGAATTATAAGCAAAAGCATTAGCTAAATCTCTTTCGCCCATTATTATTATTATCATTATATTGAAATCAATATATATTGATATTTCAAAAAAAGGAGAATGGAATTTAATTCCTAAAGGGAAAAACATTATATCTATTAATATAAAAAAGAAATCTAATCTCATCCAAAAACGAATTATCTTAATCAAGCCAGATTTTCCAAACTCTATCTGTGTGAACAAGGGAATTCACTTCAAAAGAATGACTTCAATACAATGGCTACTGTATCAAAGGTATTTAGGCGAATGCGAAGGAGACTAGCTCTTTCAGTAGTGCCTATATAAGGCCTACTACTTCCCCTCATTAGCTAGCTCTTTAGACAGAATACAATACAGACATTTAGGGGCCTACTAATGATAGTGGGAACCACGTCTCCCGTATTCCTGATCTCATTATTGAACCAACACTATCTTTTTTTCCCCTTTAATTATTCAAAACAAAATAAATAAAGCTTTTCAAAAAATCGAAATCAAAGGGCTAGTTATTGTAGTAATAATTATATTCTTTAATAATAATATCATTATTATAACAAATAATCCCTTTATATTACAATTCTTATTAAAAAAAAAAGCGATTTGAAGTAATATTATCAAATTCAAAAGAATCCAAAAGAATCAAGAATAATATAAAATCATTATTCACAAAATCCTAATTAAAGAATTCTTAGATACAAAAAGAATAAATCTTATATTTAATAAAATCAAAACCTTTAATTCAGACTTCAAGCCTATAAGAATCCCCTTTTAGCTTATATCTATTTCTAGAAAAGCTTATTAATAAGAGAATGCTATTGTTATTATTTTTACTACAAAATCAAAAACAGAATTAACTATTCGAAAGCGATTATATATTGCTAGAAGTAGTATAAGAATAGAATAATTCTACAAATCAAAATCAACTATACAATATCAGAAATATCAAGGATTTAGATATCAGAATATCTATTGTAAAAAGAATTCCTTTTATAGATTATATAAAGATAAGTATATTATATTAATATACTTATATATAATATACAATATTAAAAAAAAGTTTTATTAATACTTAAAAGTAAAATGCTCGAATTGTCAAGAGAATTATATAGCAAATTCGAAAATATACAAAACCTATCAGACTATTCAACAAAAATCGAATACTATTTATTAATAAGTTATATTAATATTCGAATCCTTCAAATAAATTTCAATTAAAGTTTATAAGCTATAGAGAATATTCTATAGTTTGTAATAAAACTTAATATCAATCTTATTATAATTCAAGAACCTTAGATTATTAAAAACAAAATCGATTACTCAAATTTAAGATGTATTATATATTCTAATTTCATATAAATATTATTAAGACTTAATCCTAATTACCAATTATATATATTATTATACACATCAAAAACTCTTCAAGCTATAATCAATCTAGCTTCCAATTCTCCAATAGATTCTGATATACAGATTTTCAATTATCAAAATGAAAACAAAACCTTTTAAATTATTAATATATATAATAAAGTTGATTAAACTAAAGAAAAAGGTTTTATAATTGAAAAGTATTTGTATAATATATTTATTATATAAAAAACCATCCTTTTAGGCGATTTCAATATCTATTATCTATAATAGAATCCTTTTTTGAAGAAAAGCAGAAATATTAATTAATTAGCTGAATGGTTTGAAGATTAAAATCTTATTCTTTTAAACAAGCCTGAAATCAGCACTTTCTATCGAATTAATTTTTTTAATCTAAGTATTCTTGATTTAATATTGTGTGAACAAGGGAATTCACTTCAAAAGAATGACTTCAATATAATGGCTACTGTATCAAAGGTATTTAGGCGAATGCGAAGGAGACTAGCTCTTTCAGTAGTGCCTATATAAGGCCTACTACTTCCCCTCATTAGCTAGCTCTTTAGACAGAATACAATACAGACATTTAGGGGCCTACTAATGATAGTGGAAACCATATCTCCCATATTCCTGATCTCATTATTGAACTAATATTAATTAGTAATATCACAAATTACTTAACTTACTTATTCGAAATACCTTCTCACTTTTATTTCTTTTATTTCCCATTGTCAGCACTATGATATCCCGGGGAAGCGCTAGTACTAGCTCTAAGCAAGCTGACAAGAAACCCGATACTAGCAAGAAACCTATTCTATCCGATCAATCCACTGGTATAGGAGGATTTATCGATACGACAACTGATAATACCGATCCTTTACAACAGGAGTTCAAGACTTTTCTCTACAAAGATATGACTAATGCTCCTCCTTATCCTTCTGCTCCTTTCAATCCCTATATTCCTGATAAAGTAGTAGCTAAAGAAAGAAAAACTCAGGAAACTACTAAGGATTTGAAGTTCAAAAAAGAATCTCAAAACTATTCCTTTTCAAAAGATCTCAATAAAGCTA